AATGTTAATATCTTTCATACTTTTAAAAATAGTGTGACCTGTCTAGAAATCTATCTGGTCTTAAAGCAGCAAGGACATAAGAAGAGAAAGAAAGAAAAAAGACCCTTAAAATGCCGACCTATGAATATTGATATTTAGATATGTATTGTCTGAAATTCATAAATAAAAAAATAAGTGCTAGATTATTAAAGAATGTTTTTTCCACATTAAACCTTACCTAAAATAGCAGGGAAAGAAGTTTCATGATTAAGAAATAAAAGACAAAAATGATTTGCTCTTACACATTAACATGGTATTTATGTTCACTTTCATCAAATAGTCACTAAAATGAAATGCGATAATTTGATCCAAATAGTCCATACATGCCTTGCGTGTGTGTGTGTGTATCTCAAATTATGTGTACTCTGCGGAGATCCCGATGATTATTTGTTTATTGCTGTCTCCCAATTTCTGGAAAAGTATTTAGCAAACCATTTGTGCTCAATAAATTAGCTGATAGATTTCAAATTCACTACATTTATAATAGTGTAATGCTGCATAACAAAATAGTAATACTCCTAAATATTAGAACTATATTTATTTCAGAAACAGTATGATGAGTTAATTAAATAAAAAACTCCAGAGCTAAAGTGTGGCATTTTAAATCCTAGCTTTATCATTTTGAATAAAAAAACTGTAATTTAATCTTAACCACTCTGTGCCTCAGTTTCCTTACTTGGGGGAAAATAACAGTAATGTAAAAAATAAGTGATATGTATGAAAAACTTAAAATAAATACTTAATGGTAAAGATTTTGTATATTATTATATTAAGTCACATTTATATATGAATAAAATTTTAATTTATTTTTTGTCAGAATGAAATTCTATTTAGGGGAAGGTAATAGTTCAATTAATTTGGATTTAAAGTAAGTATGTCCTATTATCACATTGTTTTTACACATTTATTTTTTTAAAAACAAAAACACTCATCTCTTGGGCCATAGTTCCAAATTCCAAACACCAGACTCATTGCCTCTGAATCAACTCTGACTAACAGGGACTGTTTAGGACAGAGTAGAATTGTGCGCTTGAGTTTCTGAGACTGTAAATCCGTGCTGGAGTAAAAAGCCCCAGCTTTCTCTCTCAGAGAATTTCATTGTTTTGAACATCTGTCTTTGCGGTCAGCAGTGCACTCTGTAACTCACTGTGCCAGCAGGGCACCTGTTCTTTAACACGCAAAGAAAACTCAAACCATTTGCTGGCCAGTCAGCAGTGAACACTGTATTGCAGAGTAAGGTTATGCCAGAGGGTTTTCTTGGCTATAATCTTATGAAACAGATTGCCAAGCCACTCTTGTGCAGTGCCATTGGGTGGGCTCAAGCAACCACCTTTAGGTTAGCAACCAATCACAAACCACTTGTGCCACCCAGGAACCTGCAGAACAGCAGAAGGAGCATGGAAAGCCACACTGGTTCCAAATGTTCTTCTGTAGACTAGATAATGTGTGTCCTACATAGAGTTCCTGCTATTATTAATTAAAATCCAGACTAACTTAAAATCATATATCTGTCATAAAGCATTAATGTCTTCAAAAGTAATTTTGTTTCATAATGTTTCCGCTACAAAGTTCATAAATTAAACAAAAAATTTGAAGGAAAGATGCAAACTAGAGCAGCTAATTTTCAATTCTTTTGGCTTTTGTGAAAAAACAAAATACTAAATAAAAATTACTAGTTCAGATCAATTTTCTTAACAATCAATGGGCTGTATCCATTAAACAAATTTTGTCCACAATTCACTTACAAACAAAATTTCATCTAGTATTTCTTGATTCATACATGAGAAATTTCAGACAAATAAAATATCATACTGATAAAATAAACCTTAAAGTTTAAACACTAAGTCATCCAAGTTAAACTGATTTTATATATATATATATGTTGAGAAAAGTAACAAAATATTTTAAATTAAGAAAAGAGTATGATAAAATGTTTTATCTGAATAAAATAAATGCTTCAAAATAGTAAATGTAAAAACTGTTAATCATCTTAAAATTAAAGCAATTACTTTTGTTAGTCAAAGTGCCTAAGTATAAATATAGATCAAGTCAAAATATTCTATAATATTCTATAACCAAGAAGTTGCAACCATAATAAAACAAGTTATAGATAATACTATAGAACTATAAATAGCATTCTTTAAGTTATTATAAAATTTGTATTCAAGTCTGTGCTACTGTAATAATTTATATTTATTATAGTTGAAATTATAATGTATTGCATTATATAGAGTTTACATTACATTCTTTATTACATTGGGCTAGAAAGGATCTGTACCTTAATAGTCAGAAATTTCAGAGGTTCCATTTTAAATGGTACTTTTCTCTTAAAATTTAGTCATGATTAATTACATGAAAATTAACTTTTTTTCCATAACCACAGCCCAAAATGTTTAAGTATTAAAGATAATAATAAAATATGCTATTAACTTTATAACTTAAAATTAATAAAATTTGAAGTTAAACTATTGTCTTTATTTTTTTAATACTTCTTATTTGAAACCAATAAAATATTTTATAGTATGTTTCTATTCTACAATTTCAGAGAGAAAAACACTCAGCAGAACTTATTTCAAATGAATTGCTTTAAAGAGATTAAAGCATTTATCATTCTCAGTTATTTAAATGAAAAGAAAACCAAACAAACAAAATTACACGTTCATAGTTTCTGACACAAAGAGTCAATAGAACCAATATGACAAATTATGTAAAGTTTGCTTGATAAGAATTAGGAACAAATTAGACTTGAAACTATCACTGTACAATACTGTGGAATTGCTTTCAATTTTATTTCTCTTCCTTAAGAAAAAGTATAGCAATGAAATAGCAATGTATTAACATAAAAACAAATCTTTCTTTGTGCCCCTTCACAAAACTTTATAAGATCAATATATCACTGAAAGCCCAATTCTATGCTTTTCACTTCGCTCAACGCAAACCTCTGTACACAGTTCCCGAACATGAAAAGAGAGACTCCACTTGGTCTTCAGAAAATCTACTTTCTCATGTAAACTCTTCTCACACTCAATAAACACAGTGTTTCATTGTACCCAACTGAAGGCAATGAATCTGACCTTGTTTGCTCTGAACAACACAGAGATACCTCAGGTACATCAATTAATATTATGGCAGTTTTCACATAAATCTTGCAGAAATCCTATTCAGGAAATACACTAGCTCCAAAAAATCCCACACAGCAGTGCAGGCAAAGAATCTTTAATGAATTAGGGTTCAAGATTTTCTCCTTACAAACAGCCTTTTTATATTTGGTGTACAAATATAGTAATGTATAGCGTTAGTGCACTAGCCTTCATTCCAACAACAGTAAAATTATTTCTGTATCTTTTAGAATAACATTTTAAATTAAAAAATAATGTAAAATATTAGTATTTCCTACATGGGAGATTTCATCACTCTAAGAGGGGCATGACCCACTTAGAAAGACCCAAAGTGGGCAATATAGTCATACAGACAAATAATGCATATTCTAAGCTACATTTTCCAAAGTGTGCCTTACAATGCTTAGAAAACAACAGTCTGCCTTGAGAAAACACCCCTATAGACTTGCCATTCCAATCACTGCCTGGACCCAAAGATGAAGAGTACAGAGAAAGAAATGAATAGGAATGACTGATTAAACCAAAAACAAAGCATGTTTGATTTAAGAAGATTAGTTAAATAATTTATCTAATTATCCAAAAGCAACACTAAAATAAACAAATTTAAAATGGCAACAAAAGAGAAACAAATGTAAAACCACCAATACCACTAATGTAAAGATAAAGAAATTCCAAAGTGATTTTTAAATATCTAAGTGGGATAATAATTATCCATGAACAACATAATCCAGTCTGATATTGCATATCAGATCAGATAACATTTATAGAGTGATCACATCATTATAATACTGCCAACGTACATCTTTATATAACTACCAAACCAGCAAACCATGACCCCACCAACTTGACATATCTTTGGAGGTAACTCATTTACCAGGGTAAGTCAAAAAGGATAATTACAAAATCAACTTACTTCTATATTGCTTCTAGTGTGATAATTTTTAATTACCTTGAGATATATGCCCATGTAAATTTTTTATCATATTCCTGAGTTTTTAGCAACTCTTGAGTACTAAACTGTGCATGTGGCCTTGAAAAGTTCATGAAAAAATGGAATCAAAATATAATGGAATTTCTCCATGAATTTTTCTGAGGATCCTTTCATATTATTAAATCCCTACCAGCATTGCTGTGCAAGGCTTTTAAGGATCTCATGTAAACAGTGATTTAAAAAATTATTACAGCTCCTTAGGAAAATAAAAGTTTTCTAATACATATATAAAGGGCTATGTTCTCACCACTGAACAAATAGGTAGGTGTTATCAGTCCTTCTTCCTTGGTATGTTTATTCCAGCAGTGCTTAGTATAATATATTTATTCCTGCAGTGATGAAGGGATCTAATAAGGTGAAGGGGCCCCTCAAAGTTCATGGAGAAATTCCATACCCTTATAATACCATTTACACATGAACTTTTTAAAGCCCCTTTATAGTTTAATGCTCAAGAGTGGCCAGAAATTCAGGAACATGATAAAAACTTTGCTTGAGCATATATACGAAGGTAGTTCAAATTTACCACACTAGAACCAATATAGCAATGGCACCTAGCAACAACAACAAGGATCTCTGGTGGCTGTGATCCTCAAGGTTAGAAGTTCGAAAGTGGAAGAGGAGACTTTCTATTCCGGTAAAGAGCTACCATTATGGAAGCCCACAGGGGCAGTTCGACCCTGTCCTCCAGGGTCACCAGGGTCAGAGTTGACTTGATGCACAGGCAGTAAGAATAAATAAATATGACATGAATAAATGAACCAGTTACAATGATCTATTCTTTAAAGAAGTAAATGAAGTCAAATATAATCATGAGAAGTTATGCGTAAATATTTAGAGTACATTGTTCTCACCAATTCGAATGATTTTATTGTGTGAAAGTTCAAGATTTTGAAGATTAGTGCAACCATCCAAACCATGCAAAGAACTGAGCTGATTTTTATTAAGGAGAAGAATGCAAAGATTTTCCAAATTTTCACAATTTATTGTCTGAATATGGTTTTCCTAAAACAAAGGAAAAATAAAATTACTTTTATTTCATGAATTACTAATGAAGCATTTAAAGCTTGCAAAAAGAGTAACAATGATATATAGTTTCCTAATGAATAACTAAACCTATAATGTCTATATGCAAGTTATTACCTTATCTGGATGAAAATATTAAATACTCTAATGAATAATTACCTAATATCTAATTTACTTATTAATATTCTTTTTAAAAAGAAAATACAGAGAGTAATACAATAACTTATTTGTTTGTCAAACAGCCTAACTAAATAAGCATGGATATTTTAACATAGCGTATTCAAAACTTATTTTAAGACATCAAATATTGAAAATATTAAAGCTCCCTGATTTCTCCTCCCCACTCCTTAATTATCCAAAGAGTCACTATCATGAATTAGGGGTAAACCTCATATATAGGTTTATACTTTCACTACACACACACACACACACACACACACACACACACACATCTGTACAATGTATATCATTGGCCTTGGGGTCAAGATTATGCCAAGGATGCACAGTGAATCCTTGTATAAGACACCTCCAAAAATAATTAATGGTTCTAAAATATTAAAGGTACAGTCCTATAACACCCCTCTAGAAAGAGGCCTGTCTCAAAAAGACAAATCTAGTTCTTGTCTAATAGACTAAGCTAATGAGAAGCAGAAGAAACACAACATTTTTAAAGGAAGTTATATTAAGGGAAGAGTTGTTAGTTTTAGCTGAAAGGAATAGAGATGAATGAAAACAGAAAGAGGCCTCCAGATACTTCCAAATTTTTACAGGAAAGAAACAGGCTGATAAATATTCCCAGCCTCAAAACGGGGCACTTCTTATGGAAATGGAAGTGTGACTAGGAGTTGGGGTCAAAAACTCAGGGGCAGATGGAAGTCAGGGAGAATCATTTAACTGAGTCATCATCAAAGGATTTATACCAGTTCAGCTAGTAACCAAGGCCTACTATTAACTTCCTGTCTTTCTCATTTTGAACTGGAATTACATGGCAGTTGGCCGAGTCCAGTCTTGCTACTGTATGCGGGTATGTGTGCGGGGATTGTGATACTCCATGTAGTAGACAAGAGCTACACTTAAGCGGCTACACCTGAAGAGACTTAATCTGCACTGGGCTTGATTTAGACGCAGAGACCCTGGGCATCAAGCCTCGCCTGATGACATCCTACATAAAACTTTGGGAATGTTCATAACATGAGTGTCAGTGGATCATTAGAATGCAGAAGTAAATTTTGGTACTGTTCCTTTAGTAACACAGCGGCTGCCAACAATGGACTCAAACAAAACAACTATTGTGAGGATGATGCAGGACTAGGCAGTGTTCCCTTCTGCTGAACAGTTACTATGAATCAGAATCAACTGCACCTAAAAAGAACTCACACTTTGGTAAAAACAGTTGCCGTTGAGTCAATTCCTACTGGTGGGTGGCAACCCTGTGTTCCAGAGCAGAACTGCACTATAGAGGACTTTCAATAGCTGTACTCTATTGCAACTGGATCACTAGGCCTTTCTCCTAAGGTGTCTTTCAGTTGCTCGTGATAAACTCTGCATCCCAAGAGCGATACAATCATTCAGTTCTCTCTCACACTAACTCTGGGTTTGACAAATAGAACATCAGCCAGCATGATTCAAGCAGATGTTTGATAATCACTTGCATATTGAAGCTACTGTTTACCAATGTTTACTCTTGGTATTTTACCACATACAGAAACTATGTGAAAGGGCCTGAGAGCCAGGGAGAGAGGGGGCAAGGGAAGAAGTGAAGGAAGGAAAGAAAGAGGGAGAAAGAGAGATTGATTGATTGATTGATTCCAATGTCCCAGCCATTACTGTGAACACACAAGACATACAAGTGACGGTACCTTGGAGATTTCAGAACCAGCTACCATCCACCTGTAATTATGAGACCTATTCATCACCATATGATGCACAAGACTTTTCATTCAAGACTGGCTTGCACTCATGTCCTGCAGACCCACAACAGATAAGGCTGTGGTTGTTCAAAGCAAGCAAGAATAGAATACTTTGTTATGCAGCAAAAAGTTAGTAAATCAAAACCATATCTTCTGCAAATAGAGGTGCAGTTTCCAGGTCATACTGCTTAATCATTTTCCCTCTCTGGTCCTTACAAATTTAGACCTTTGATTTGTTTAGACCCTATATTATGTGTTTTTTTAGTAAATATTTATCTAAAACTGACCTTTTTGAAATATAAAAATCAACCCACTTAAAGTTTATCAGAAGACAAACAATGATCAGAAGAGCAGGCATACCTGTACATCAATGTACTTCAGGTGTTTGCAGTTACCCAAGCTGTGCAAAGAAGTTAATCCACAACGTTGAAGAGACAGAAACTGAAGATTTGAACACTCTGCTAGTGTAGAAAGATTACAACCTGGCAAATCTTGAAAAGTAACTGTTGTCACCTAGACAAATTCAAGATATAGGAAAGCACATTATTTCATACTACTGAATATTACCTATATTAAGCCTTGCATACTTCATTTAAGAAAATAGCATATGCATTTTTAAATTCATCTAAGTAATACCATTTGTTAAAATCCCCATTTATTAATAACTCAATTGCATTTAAGCTACTCCTGCCCTTTGTTCCTACATTAACAGGCAAAATAACATATACTAATGACTAATTCATGTTCAAAGCTAAAATGTATATAAACTAATCATTTATTAGTTCACTCAATTTTTCCATGCCATTAACTCATAAACCACCCTTATCTGTGGGATTCTGTTTACAATCAGTGTTTGACAGCATACCAGGGATCTCTGGATAAGTCCAATCCTGCATGCTTTTCACTAGAGAGTTTGGCCAGATTTTAAAAATAAATGTAAAAAAGGGGGTGGAAGGGAGATGTTTGATTTAGAGGAGCTGCTAAAGAAACTGGTAATTAGAACAATTTAAAAATAGCCATGTAATATAAACAACATCCTATCACAAGCCTTCCTTATTGCAAAAACAAGCATCCCCATTTACTTGTGAATAAGGATCCCTTGTGGTACTGTCAGGTAAGCGTTAGACTGCTAAACTCTAGGCAGGTAGTTCCAACATAACCAATTGCTCGGAGGAAGAAAGATGAGGCTATCTGCTCTGGTAAAGATTCACAAAGCCTCAGAAACTTTGCTTAGGGTTACTATGAGTTGGAACTGACTTGACAGCAGTGGGCACATACAGCTATACCTCAGTTGTTGACCGGCTCCAAGCCTTTGCTTGATATTCAACTGAAAATCCGACTTCAAAAAAAATCTGTACAGGCTAAGAGTGAGCCACCCGTCAAGCATGTACTATTCAGTTCTTGAACTTTCAGTGTTCAAACACAAATCTGGAACGAGTTTGAGTTTGGCAACCAAGGTATCACTGTATATCATAGCATATAGTATTTTAAAACTCAGCAATACTTCAAAATAGATATTACTCAGCCCAGTCCATGAAAGCCGAACTGAGGTCAATCAACTTTTTGGTAAAGTAAGAAAACTATTAAATAGCATAAATAAAACTAACCCAGATTATGTACTGGGTAAGACTTGTTATATTACTTTCCTTTTTAATCAACACACTCCAATGAACTGTGAGGATACTAGTAATAAGCATATATGATTACATTTAGTAGACTATTTCTTGGATTTATTTACGTAGAGTTACTATGTAACCATCACACTCTACTATGTATAGCTAGTAGTTGGCAATCAACTTTGCAAAATATTATGGAATAAAGACCTGATTCATACCCTGAAAACTAAAAATTAGAGCTTAAAATAGAATTCATTACATGGTGGAACCACAGTGGAATATACTTTTTATCTTTAAATATCTTCTCTGGGCAATCTTTCAAAGGTAGCAGTGAATTATCAGGTTAAAGACAGAGATGAGGAGATTATAGATTGGAAAATCAAAGTAATAAAGTGAATCAAGAACATTAGTGAATGAAGACATCACAATAAATCATCTGCCAAACAGAATCATTAGTTGTCTGAAAGCCTAATATGGTATTTATAACACTTTAATATTTATAAGGGATATTATCCCATTTTAAAACTTATGAAACTATATATTATGCCTTCTATAAAAATAATTTCAGATAGTTGAGCAACAGTCAAAGAATATTAGGATACATTAGAGCATTGCTACTCCAAATTGGTGCATGGACCATCATCAATAGCATCTCCTATGAAAACTGAAATTTCAGATGATGGTATCACCCATCGAGCCTCATGAATTAAATTGAGCATTTTTAACATACCTCCTGGTGATCTAAATTCACATGAACGTTTTTGAAGCCTTTATGCATACAGAGAGTAACCTCCAGTTTGTGTGCATTATAAAGAGTTTCCTACAAAGGACAGAGGGTGGACAGAAGGAAACACACCAAGGAAACAGCAGCAGTTCACGTATCACACTTTCCTCAGGGCTCTTCTCATTGGATACATCTTCTACAGCGAAAGGGAAAGACCCCTTTTCCTACATCAGTATTCCTTTTGAAACAAGGGCTGAAGTGGTCACTGTTAGCTCATGCAGAGATTTGTGAGCAAATGTACTTAACTAGAAAGTAAGTAGATAATGTCCTTCATAGTGGAAAACCTGCAGCAATGTGTTAGAACAAGGAAAGGACAAAAGAATAACTACAGAGAGAGCAGCGCTTACTGAGAGATCAGGACTGCATGTGGAGTATCATGGATTTGATGGAGGCAGTAAATACACTCACTAGAAGGCAGAGAGCATGTCAAAGCATATACCGTAATTCTAGTTCCTTATGGTATGGCTCTTTCGTGTACCAAGAATCTATCTAAATTCCCTCCCAAATTTCATGTACTAGAAACTTGGAAATCTTAATTTTAGCAATGATCAATATCCAAAATTATGTTTATCTATTTATTTATTTGCTAAATGCCTGTAAAGTAAGATCTACTTGACAAATATTAGGATTTCTTTGTTTCTACCTCTTTATTCCAATAATCAATATTTATTTAGCATATTGAATAGATATATATTTTTGAGCAAATTAATATATCTATCTTTATTCATATGGATGTGTCCATCCCTAGACAACTGTGTAAAATATTCTTATCTAATTCTATAATTGCTAGTTTCTATATCTTAATTATAAGTGGTAAAAAATAAAATAGAACCCATAAAGATTTATATGTTACACATTAGTGAGTTGAAATGGACTGATATTGATCATTTTGAATCAGAAAACCATACAATTTACTATGCCCGGAATAATACAATCAAGAAAAAATGGCTTGGTATTGGTTAAAAAGGACATTGGAAAATCTAGAATGAAGTACAACATTGTTTGTGATAGAATTGTATCTATCATCCTTTAAATAAATCCAATCAATACAACTATTATTTCAATTTGCACATCATCCACAAAGCTAGTGAGAAAGATATTGAAGATTTAAGCCAACAACTTCAGTTGGAAATCAATTAAACATGCAATCAAGATTCCTTGATAATAATTGGATTGGAATGAGAAAGTTGGAAAGAAAGAGGAAGGAACAGCGGTTGGAAAATATGGACTTGGTGACAGAAAAGAACCTGGCGTTCCCATGATATAATTTTGTGAAGGCAACAACTTGCTCATAGCAAATACCTTTTCTCAACAACTGTACACATGGACTTCTCCAGATGGGAGATATAGAAATCAAATGGACTACATCTGTGGGAAGAGATGATGGAGAAGCTCAATGTCAGCAGCTCAAACCAGGCCAGGCTGATTATGGAGCAAACCATCAATCAGTCATGTGTAAGTCCAGGCTGAAGTAAAAGAAAATTCAAACAAGCTCATGAGAACCAAAATATCCCGTCTGAATTTGGAGAACATCTCAAAAACCGATTTAGCACATTGAGCACCAATCACAGAAAGACATCAAGAACATCATGAAGAAAGCAAAAGATCATTAAAAAGAAAGACAGGGAAGAAAGAAAAGATCAAAGTGGATGTCAGAAGAGAATGTGAAACTTGCTCTTAATCACAGAGTAGCTAAAGCAAATGGAAGAGATGATGAAGTCAGAGAGCTGCATAGAAAACTCAGGAGGGCAGCAGGAGAAGACAAAGCCAAATGTTATAATGAACTGTGCAAACCTATAGAGTTAGAAAACCAAAAGGGAAGAATATGCTCAGCAATCTTAAACTGAAAGAACTCAAGAAAAAATCAGGCCTGAAGTTGCGATATTGAAGATTCTATGCAGGAACCATTAAAAAAAAAAAAAAGACGGGAAGAAGACACAGAGGCACTGCAGCAAAAATATTTAATCTAAGCTCCTCATTTTAGAGGGTATCATGAGCATGAACCAATGATGCTCAAGGAAGTTCAAGCTGCACTGAATGCACTAGCCAAAAACAGGGCACCAGAAATTGTTTGAATACCCACCACAATGTTCCAACAAGGTGATGAAGCACTGGAAGCACTCACCTAGCCGATACCAGGACATTTGGAAGACAGCTCCTTGGCCAGCTGACTGGGAGAGATTACTATTTGTGCCCAGTTCAAAGAAAGGGGACCAAAAGATTCCTTAAAGTATCAACAGTATCACTGATATCTCACATAAGTAAAATTTTGCTGAACATCATCCAACAAGTTATAGCAAAACATTGACAGGGAACTGCCAGACTCATGCCAGATTCAAAAGAGGATGAGGGAACAAGGGATATTGTTACAGATGTCAGACAGTTTTTGGCTAAAAGCACAGAATATCACACAAAGATGTTTACTTGTGTTTTATTGACTATTCAAAGGCATTTGACTGTGTTGACTATTATGAACTATGCATAACCTTGAGAAGAATAGGAATTCTAAAACACTTCATTGTTCTCATTAGGAATATGAATTAAGAGGCAATTTAAGTCTGCTTGGTTAAAATCAGAAAAGGTGTGCATCAAGGTTGTATCCTTTCACCAAACTTGTTGAATCTCTATGCTGAGCACATAACCAGAGAATTATATTGGATTTTATGAAAACTGTGGCATTTAGATTGGAGGAAGGTTTATTAAAAACCTGTGGTATGAATATGGCAACCTTGCCTGCTGAAACTGAGGAGGACTTGAAGCACTTGCTGATGAAGATCAAGGATTGTAGCTTTCAGTATGGCTTATGATTCAACGTAAAGAAAACCAAAATCCTCACAACTGGACCATCATGATAAATGGAGAAAAGGTTGTAGTTGTCAAGGATTTTGTCTTGCTTGGATCCACAATCAATGCCCATGGAAGCAGCTGTCAAAATATCCAAAGATATGTCGCCTTAGATAAATGACCTGCACAAAGCCCCGTTAGAGTATTGAAGAGCAAGGATGCTTCTTTGAGGACCAAGTCACGATATTTTCTCTTGCCTAATATGCAAGTGAAAGTTGCACATTGAATAAAGCAAACCAGAGAAGAACCGATGCACTTGAAGTGTGGAGAACACTGAAAGCACCATGGGCTGCTAAAACGACAAACAAGCCTGTCTTGGAATAAATAAGGCCAGTGCTCCTTAGAGGTAAAGATGGCAAACCTTCATCTTACACACTTTGGCCATGTTATCAGGAGAGACCAATCCCTTAAGAAGGGCAATGAAAAAGAGGACAGCCCTCGAGACAGATTGGCACAATAGCTACAACAATGGGCTCAGGCACAGGAACAATTGCAAAGATGGCACAGGACCCTGCATTGTGTAATTCTGTTGTATGTAGGGTCACTACAGGTGAGAACCAACTTGATGGCACCTAACATGTTTTAGTATATGTGCTGCCGAAATGAGCATGCCACCTAACATGTTTTAACTTGGGTTGAAACTATGAGATCCATACCATACAAAACTAGCTGCATTAGGTAGCACTTCTTTCAACACTCATTTTATATTCTAGTCTTTCATTGCACATGACAAAATAATTATAATTTTATAATTATTTTATATATACGATTTTACATATTTTATATATAGTTCTTTCATAACACATTGTCTAATCCGAGTAAGATCATTTAATTCCGAAAAGAGCCAGTAGGTGGTTTGGTGGCCCAATGCTAAAGCAAATGTCTGACTAGCATGTCTGTTCCCTTCTCTAATCTAATTCTATATTTCCATATAATTCCACACAGAAGCTTAATTTAATAATGACTATGGGGACAGTTAACACAGGCTTCAGGAAGATAAATCAAAGCTTTTAATAGTGATTCACCAAAGGAGAAAGTAGCCTGTATAATTTCAATTGGGAAGATCTTTTAAGAGCATCTTCCTTCAATGACGTTAGCAGCTTCATTGATTAAGAAATAGAAACATTGGACATAATATTTCTACTATTACGAATTCAAAGCCACCTGTAGAGAATTTTAGAAAATACGGAGAAAAATTAAATAAGAAATACCTGCTGTAGTGTATCCCAAGAGCCAAGCTGCAAAATGTCTAATGTGCTCAGAGGAGGCAGAGTGCCGTCCACTGGGCATTTCACAGACCGCTTCTTCTTAACAATGTTCTTTTGTTGGTGTTTCTTGAAACATTCAAACCAGGGTTTACATGATTGTATCCAAGCAAGTCTTTTTTCTTCAATGTAAGTTAAAAGGGGGGGTTCTGGTTTAGAGTGGGCCATGCCATCTTCAGGGCAATCTCCTGAAAGTTCTTTAATCTCATATTCAATAGAGTTGGTTTCCATAGAAACCAAGGAGCTTTTCTCATCACAGCCACTTGAGTTTCCAGGAAGAGCTTGACTACGTAAAGTATCACCATGATTGTCTATTTTGTCTTCTCTATTGATTATGGCTTCACTGGGGTTAAAAACCACAATGTCTCTATTCAGAGCATTGTCTTCGGAGTTTTCAGCTTCACTGGACTTTAAATCAGTGTCTTCTTCTTTTACTACATCATCTTCCCCGATATTTTCAACGGCTAATTCTAGTGGTAATAATTCTTGTTCCATTGAAATCGCTGAAGTACTGTTTTCTTCATATAAGGTTTCATTCTGTCCTGGTATTCTTTCCTTTTCCACTTGTATCTTCTCATGTCGATTATCTCTGATTACTTTCTGTGCTTCATTACTTTTTGCTTTATCAATGTCTTGATTATGTCCTAACATCAGTATTTGAATTTCTTGTTCTACATTTTCATCTATGGTATGTTTTAATTCTTCCTCTTTGGGAATTTGAAGTTTCGTTTCATGTGGCTTAAACGTTTCTTTCACATTTTCTTTTAGATCTGGACTTTCCAAGTCACATTGTTTATCTATGTTTTCATATTTTCTTTTTGAATTAAGCAATTTTTCTGAATATTGTTGTTTTGTTAGACTTTCTTTTTTTTCTTCCTCATTTGGTTCTGCCATAATTTCTTGTTTTGGTGTATGTTCTTTTAGTTTTTCTTGTATTAATTCTTCCGAAACTAGTTTTCTCCCTACATTTCCCCTCCTATTTGATTTTTCATCTACAATTAGCCAAAGAGGAACATCTTGAGTCTTTGATTTCTCACTCACTAGATTTGGGGTTATGTGATTCTTATTCATTGGTGTGCTTTTTACAGTTAAATGTTTGGTATTATATTCTGTTTTCTCTAATGTCATACTCATTAGCTGTCTCCTTGACTCTTCTGTGACTCTTAATTTTCTCTTGAATGATACTTGTTCTCTGTCTAGTTTCAGACTAATCTTTTTTTCTTCATATTCTTTTTGTCTCTTTTTAAATTCCTCTTTCTCTTTCTTTTTTTTCTCTTCTTTTGTTCGTTGTTCTTCTTCTAGCCTTTTTTGTCTTTCTTCTTCCCATTGCCTAATTTTTGCTTCCTTTTTTTTCCACTCTTGTGCTTTCTTGTTCTTACTTTCCATTTGTTCTTTGATAATTGGGTTATAGTGTTTGTAAGCTATAAATGCTTTGAAACTGGCTTGGATTTTTATAGCTGCACTATTCTGCATTTTATACAAACGAATTTTTTCATTTTCCTGTAGATCTCTCAATTTTGTTCTTTCCTCTTCCATTTTTAAATGCAAGTTTTTAATAAATTCCTAAAATAAAGAAATATAAGTACTCATAAGAATACAATTAAATGTGCACCATCTTACATGCTTATCTAAAATAGAGATTGAAAACAAATTACAAACTAAATTCTCATAACGAATTCACAATAAAACTCATTTAGGATAGTTAAATTAATTTCATTTCAACACTGAATATTTTAATATTTGGCAATTATTTCACAGATGTGTTAATACTATAATATAGGAATAATGATATATGTATATGTATGATATAGGCTGTTAAACGTCATAAAAGTAAAAAGTATATGAAACCAGAATGACACAGAAATGAGGCCAAGGAAACGAGTGGCTGACATTCAATGTGGTGAAGCGACTCAGAAGCTTTCTGAGAGGGGAGTTCTTTGTGAGGAGACCCCCAAAGCTGGAAGTGGTACAGAACACGCGGGGAATTACTCTGTGGTGTAGCGGTTACTAGTTGGGCTGCTAATCACAAAGTCAGCAGTTTGAAACCACCAGATGCTCCACTAGAAAAAGACAAGGCTTCCTACTTCTATAAAGAGCAAGAGTCTCAGAAACCCACAGCGACAGCTTTACCCTGTTCTCGGGGGTCACACTGAATCAGAATCGACTTGATAGTAGTGAGCTTTGAATATGAAACCAGCAAGTCAATAGAGTCCAGACTTATACACAATACACAGAACCAAACTAGCCATACATTTTATCTCTCACCAACTATCAACATCAGGATCTATAAATACATATTAATGAATTAGAAAAATTTAAGTTCTTTGAGAAAATAACATTAATAAGTCCTACAATAAGCAAATATGCCAACAAAACTCAGCAAATTTTTTAGAAACGAAGAGACATTTTCTATTTCTTATTCCTGTAATTGCTTAAAATAACTAAATAAAAACGGTGACAAAATTAATAAACATATCACTGGAATCATTTCAAATTTAAAGAGATTATTTAACAGTTCATTAGCTATCATTGATAAATAAAGCAACCTTTAATAGCATAACTTTCAACTACAATGAAATGTTTAAACATATTTTTCTTCAAACATTAAAGAAAAACTTTAGAATTGTAATTGTATAGGAATATGCATATTCACTGAGTCAGTTTGCTTTTATTTACAGAATATTATACTTCAAGGAATGTTTCTGATAATTAGTGAGCTTCTCAAATGTTGATAATTAAATACTATATCTTCTAGGCAATATTATAATAACATGTCCAATTCAAGAAGAGTTATTTATTTAAAGTGAGAAATGATTATTGCATTAAAACATATAATTACCTCATGTTGTTTAAATTTTTCTTCCCATATTTTTTCTTCTTTCTGCTGTTCATCATTCATTCTGTCTTGCTTTTGCTGAACATATAACAGTAAATAATATTACATTTATATGTAAAAGAATATTAAGTTCATGATATATGATTCTAACAACGTATGTTTGTAAAAAATGTTCAAAATTTTTATAATCTACCTAGCAACTCTTGGTTATTATTACTGAGACAACTTTACTGTCAAT